TACAGACGACAGTAGTGTTAATGTTCAAGGGCATATGTATTTATACAGATGGAGGCTGTTGTCTATAAGAATAGGGATGGACATCGTTCCAACCCTCGTCGTTCGCCGTTAACCCATGCACGCGCATGGATTACAACCTTCCATGACCCTACCTTATGATGCTGTTCGACCGTTAAGGTGAAGTCCCGGAGTCATCGTAGCAAGGTGACGTGCTTCGAACTGAAGATGAGGAACGGTGGTGACTCGCCTTGGAGTTCAGAAGAAGGAGACGAGGTGAGTTGACGGAGAAAGAACACGGCGACTCTTCAGAACGTTCGGAGTCAGACGAACGACTCGCCTGACGTGCGTGGACGACTAGGCAGTGAGCTGAATCCGTTAACAGCTACATCCGAGTTCCCAACCTCCTGCGTCCTGAGTATAGAATGTGTGAAGGTGGAACAAGACCTCGAGTGGACGGAGATATTAACAGCCATGCGGTAAAAGTCAGAAAACGAGAAAGCGCATATGGCAGCCTTTCAGTCATCATTGGGACAAGCTGTACAGTAGCTCCACGGCCATAAGGATGCACAACGGATATGTCCCAAAGCAAACGAATGGAGGCCGAGATGAACATGACTCGTTCAAATAAATCTGGTCTCTGGTTTTTCACGGTACGGGGGGGGAGCCAGACATGGACAGTGGCGGGGCCGTACCGGTGTTGGTCGCAATATTCCACCAAGTAATGCTTGAGTAGAACAATAGGTTTGCGAACGAGCCCGGTGGTGCGAGCAGCAAGCTCGAGCACGCCCTCATTCAAAAGGTCAACCTGTCATTGAACCGATTTATAGCGGAAGCCCGGTGTTTTCCGCAACTCCTACCGTGTACAGGACCGGAGACGTGGATCATTGCAGGATCAACAGAGCTGGGACATACTAGTGATATTGGTATATTCCGGAGAGCATATGGCATACTCGTCTCTTCCTGGGGGAAAGATGGACATCATAATAATATTGTTGTTTGTGAGTAACGAGAGAACAGGACAATCTGAAGAAAGCAATTTACGAGTGAGTGGAATATCTGAGAGATCGTATATTAATTCATACCAATAATATGAGGCTCAGGCCTCCCAGAAACACAGTAATACCCATGCACCGAAACCATTTCAACGGCGCCACCGCCACATCCACGCCTCTTCCCCTCCACCACCATCATGTTTCCACTTAATGCGTCAACACAGCCCGGACTTAACTTTCACATTCCCGCTAAAGTTGAGACCCCATACTTAACACCGCTTTAAGCCCCATACTCAACTCCCCACATATCCTCAACTCTCACACCTCTCCTTCCCAACTCTCGACACCACTCGCCATCCCCTTCACCTTCATAATTCGACCCGAGACCCATCTCTTTCCTCCCTCTCAACCACGCACACCAATGTTTCTCCAAGATTCGTACCACCGTCAATCCACCACCAACCCCATCATTGAGGCCGTCAGCTGTCGACCCGTTCGGAGTCGCAGCGTTGGTTCCCGAGCGCAGGAAACGGGGGACAGAGCTGGAGTGAATCTGGAAAGCCGAACGCCCAGATAAAACGCGAAAAATGCTCTCCCAAACCACCTTCCTCCGTTCCTCGTCAAGCACAGACGCGGACCGTCTCTCACCCCTCTTCCTCCCACTCTCGTTCATATCCTCCGCCTCGCCATCCCAGCCGTCCTCCTCCTCGCATGGGCCACTCCATTCCATCCTGAACCCGAGATACCTAACCCCCACCGGCAACTTCTCACTAAGGAACCCATAATCACCCATACTCCACACCCGCTCCGGAACATCGAGCACGACCTTCGTCAGTGCGGGACAGTATTCCCCAATCAACTCCAACGTCGGTGCGAGAGCGGGCGGGTCGACGACGTAGAGGTAGACGGTTTGTAAAAGCGGACCTTGGATGGAGAGGAAGTGGGGGAGGAAAGGGAGGAGGTGTATTTGGGCGGAGAGGACGCGGAGGGAGATGGATGTTAGGTTAGGGTAGGGATGATGGAGCTGGTGCGTTGGGTTATGGAGTGACGAGGACGGTGACGGTGAGGAAGGCGAAGACTGGATGCCCGAGCTAACGTTGGTGGTCGGACTGCATTTATGCCATACAGGCAGCACAGCACAATGCCTCAGCTCGGACGCCGACGCCGATCCCGCCTCAACCTCGTCTCCGTCCGCCATTCCCTTCCCAGCGCCAAAATCGCAGAGCAAGCAGAAATCGACGAACAAATTCCAGCCCCCCATGCCACTCTCGAAAGTCCTCAATTTTCCTTTCCCATTAGCCAGGTACCTCAAAATCCCCCAATACGTCTCTTTGTCCGGCTGAAGCACCCACTCCGAATCTGCTCTCCAGCTCAGTCGTTCCAACGATTTGCTCAGCGAAACTAGTGTGTGGGTTGGGATGTGGAGGGATGGGCATCGGATGGAGGAGTAGGATGAATATTGGGGGTGGATCTGAACGGGGATGGACGTTGGCGTGTCGTCTGATGGGAAAGTCAGTAGATGTGGCGGTGGCGAGACGGAGGCGGAGATGGTCAAAATCTTTAGGTGGGGCAGGAGATTCAGGAGGAGTGGGAGTGGATGTAGTTCGGTGGAGTTTGAATGGGAGTCGGAGAGCGGGAGAACGTCAGGCATGCACAGATCGAGACGGTGGGTCCACCAGCCTAGTGGCGGTGTGGTTGTCGAGGCTGATGTCAGGCTCGGGCTTCGTATTGATGTTGGTGAATTCATCGAGGTCGAGGATGGGCTCCAACTATTATTGTTATTGTGGTGTTGCTGCGACTTGCTTAACGTGTGATAAACAAGGAAGAGATCCCGGAAGCGTCGGAGGTAAATGCAATCGTAGAGGATGGGCAATGCGAGGTCGTGCCATTTATGCGATACGAGAATGATATGCCATTTGGTACTGATGGAGCCCTCGATCCTACGTTGTTCATTGGTCGGGTCTGAGATGGGAGTTTGACCTGGATTACGCAGATCCCGACGCCACAACGTCAAAGCGAAGAGTGGTCAGTCGGGAGGTTCGCGCAAAGTAAAATGACAGGAGGAAGTTGAAAGAAAGAGGTGGGTCACAATGAACTAAAGAAGTGGTGACTTGCAGAGATTTGAAAGACGCACCGGATACAGAGTTATCAAACGGATCTCCCACGTCAACGCTCCATACGTCCGATACGGTGGTTGCGAATTGGAATATTCGGAACCACAATTCGGATGGGAGGTCGTAGGATGCTTGGATGGGGCTAGAAGTAGGGCCAGATTCGGATTCGAATGGACGCTCCCTGTCATTGTTTGACGATGGGGGCGAGAACGAGGGTATGAGGGACATCGATAGGTTCGTCGAGGGTGTCTGTGACATGCTGGTAGTGGTAGTGACTATAGCCATACGTCAGTTGAGAGCTTGCTAAGATTAAGGGCAAATTCTTTGAATGAAGTCACGAACAGGAGATTAGGAGTCGAAGGAATGAGCGTGCAATAGTGTTTAAAGAGTAAGGTGGCTGGTGCGTACGACGTATGTGTTTCGTGAAGGGCGGATGCAACGATCAGGGGTGATATTGAGCTCGAGATCCCTCTCCAAATGTCCTATGAGTAAATGTGTGGAGGCCAGGGTCCAGTCAGACAAGGATTTGGTGTAGACACAGTTCAACTGGTGAACGAGATCGTTTCAGTACGTGGGGTTTGACAATATTAATGTCGCATTGGAGACATATCTTTACCTGATATGAGCCTGTGTTTCTACAATACGCGTTTCATGCCTTTCGAATCCAATGCCATGGTCGCTGCTGTCTTCCTGGTACTGCTGTACAAATAGGGGCCTCGGAAACGCGACCGTCGACGTCAAGTCGACGTGCCAGTGGACGCGCGTCTGACATCGCGTGTTCCGGGACGCGCCGACTCTCGTAATACCCGGCCCGTCCGGCCATTCTTCCTTCTCGTTAACGGTCAGACTTTTAAGTACTGTGCATTCTCTTTTTGTTGTCACTCAGTTGATGAGTGCACGTATTTTAGCGATTTATTCACTTCAACATTTAATGAGTGCATCGTGTTGGAAAGAAGTTTTGGAACACTTCAAAGGCGTTGTCAATTTGGTGGGCTTCTCGATATCCGGAAGTTCTCCAAATAATAGACGGAGAGCAAAATACGTCCCAAGAAAAAACGGGCACGGTGAGTACACTGGCCAGGGGGGATGCTCGAACCAAAGACCATCGCGAACAAAGTTTAAGGAACACCTCAAAGATTTATCGGCTCGGTGGACCTGTCCCTCAACAGTGTCCGGAAGGCCTCAAAAACAATAAACCACGAGTAAAATGTATACCAAAACTAATAGTTCCAGACAACCTGGCCAACGTGGGGATCGAACCCAAGACCTTCGCGTTATTAGCACGACGCTCTAACCAGCTGAGCTAGTCGGCCGATACAAGAGGAACTCATTGCGGGAGATAAAATCCCCCGTCCTTCCCTGTTCTTCCCTTCTAACTCCAAATTTCAAGTTCCCGTCATAGCTCGGCTGATGTTCTCCACAACGCCCTCGGTTACTACTAGAAAGATGTCTTATTTTGAGTTGATTTCATGTGCGTCAAGTTCAAAGCAGCTATAACTACCTACAAATAAGTAGTACTCACTGCTTGCTCACTGGAGTACTGTTAGGTTCAGGTTCAGCGGATTCCAATTCATTCCACTCCTCTTCTGTGGCATCCTGAAGCGATTCGTAGTACACCGCCAGTGTCAATTGCCATTCACCTTTCCCACGATGTTGTAAGCCCAAGATGACGAGATGTCCCTCCCGTAGTTTATCCTTCACGGACGTCACGGTGTTTTCTCCTCCATCAGAACTCTTGGAGATTCCTGAGCCGTCCTGAGCCGTCCTGAGTCGCCCTGGTGGCTGTCCCGTTGGTGCTTCCGCCGGCTCAGGGTGTCGTCAGGCTCTCTCAGGAGCGTCAGGAGCGTCAGGGCGAGGCTCTCTCGGATAAGACCTCTGATAAGCCTTTGGATAAGTTAATTAGATTATCAATTGGAGTTATGTATACAAAGCTACGCTGGGCCACACTCGTGCATATGGTAATCGCTGTATCGATTCAAGTAGAAAGAATCAAAGGCTTCGTGTGAGAAAGAATGGTCAAAGTCAATAGGTAAAAAGCCCTCCCCTGTAACTCCAATAAGGTGACACGAACGGAAAACAGCGTCTAAAGAAATGATATCAAGTGTACGACGGCCAGCGTCGTCTACCTCTGGTTCCAAAATCCACATCCCCGTCACGGCATCCGGGTGGTCATCTACAGGAAGAAACCATTCGACAAGAGCAGAAGGATATCCAATATCGTCAAGCGTTAATCGGATAAAGCGGACCACCCGCGCCACTAATAACCCACCCATGGTGTCATCCTCGCCACCAACCTGAACGAGCATGGTATCGCGCCGCTCATATTGCCCATACCATGACTGATTACACCTGATCACCTCTGCATGCATACCCCAAGGTCCTGCCTCCTCGCTTGGAGCATAAAACGCAGTGCGTGCACATTTGAAGATCCCAATTTTCGTGAACTTTGAAATGAAGGGAAGGTCGTCAATGTCGGCGTCAGCGGCGGGAAGATCATCGTCGGGGTAAATCTGCGAATAGAGGTGGCGCCGAAGAAGGAGCCAGAGATCATCTAGCGGTCGATTAAGCTCAGCAGCAAGATCTTCGATATCCACGCTCCGAGCTTCCAAATCATGCCTTGTCAGAACTGCGATGGCCCATCAGGACAGATAAATAGATAGACATACCTGGCCTATTCGCTAGCGATACAACCAGCGCGGAGTACGGACCTGCCTCATCAGCAACGTCCCGATCATCCTCACCATCCAGATCCGCAAGGAGCTGGCCATGCACCGTGACGGGAAGCATACCGCGTCGCCCATACTCTGCTCGTGCAGCGGCCAATTTCGCCAAGCGGGTATTGGTCTGAAGAATTTGGATGAGGGGCTCATCCTTGTTCGACCCGCGCCATGGATCTTTGACAGCCGTGATGTGCTTCGACTCTGTAATAGACGAACAGAGGCCGTATGGGGAGCCGAATAATGTGATACCGTACACGTAGTGGAGCAAAGCATGTTGACGCGGGAGCGCGAAATCAGCGCGGACTCCGGTTTCGATGAAGATGGAACGTAGGTCGAGAAAGCGGTCGAGAGTCTCCTTCATAATCGCGAGGCATTTTGTGTCGTGAGATGTGCGACGGGCCATGTAGCAGAAGTCCATGAACGTGGCGATTGCTTGTACCATCTTGTCTGGAACATGGCCGCGGATCACGGGTATAAAGACCTGTTTACACGCTGTGAGATTCCTAGCGCTGAAAATAGATAAAGTAAGACCAACCCTCATAAGTGCCTTAGTATCATCGCCGGTCCACCTCTCATAGTTTCGGCCTTCTGCAAATCGTCGAATTCCCGGGAACGTGGGGACTGAAGAAACCCTAGGAGAGAAAAAGTAAGCGTGAGCATTGAAGAACAGATGGACGCTGTACAAGGACTCGGATCGACGTACTTCCGGTCAATATCGTCCATGATACGTTCGGCATCCGCATACCCGTGTTCGCTCTCGATATACTGATGCACCCAAGCAACAAGGTGATCTTTAAATGTTCCTTTGATCATTTGATGTAGGAGGTCGGGTGATAGGAGCTTGTGGATGTCGGCGCGGGGAAAGTGATCGGTGAAAGGCTAACGTCGCCGCCGTGAGCACAAATAAATAAAAAAGACAGAAGAATGCAGAAAAGAGGACGTACAGTGACGCCCGCGACAATCCCAAATGCATCCCATAAGATGCCAGCATCATGCGCGAATGCATCCCGTGCAGCAGCCCGATGCTCGCGAGACCGCGGACAGCCAGCGCCGTTGAGCGGTGGTCGTTCAAGGCATCTATTAACGAAGCACTTCAGTACCTGATACAAATTGGAACGGTCAAAGGGAGAGTTACTTTGGGCACCAGCCTTGGACGATACCCGCAAGATCCACTTGCTCCGGATAATCTGCAATGAATGGACCAATACTAAAAATGATACGGCGATAGTGGCCATCACAGCACCTCAAGACAATCGGGCGGGACATCGCATCTTTCAGCGGCGAGAGAATGCGTGCGATGGCGGCATGATAAAGTCGCTTCTTGAAGAGGCGAAATTCCGCCGTGTCGCTCTCTCCTCTAGCCGCTAGCCATGTGTACAGAATGTGAGATGGGGTGGAAACGAAGAAATGAAAGGAACGTACTTTTCGGGACAGCCAGAAAGGCTAACGGCACAACGGCTTCCCCATGTGCCCTACGCACATCGTTCCACACATTACCCACGGATGCATACAGCGGATGGAACTCTTGGTTACCGGTAGCGACGGAGACAACCGTCTTGTCCGCCCCAAGAATGATCGGGACAAGCATTGGGCCATGTGTGGCGGGGTCCGTTGCGACCTTGTCCTGGTGCTGACTGTAAGCTTTCGATCGAAGATGGAATCAAAGAAACGTACACATTCGTCCCATGCCCACTGGCCAGACATAAAATTCGAGTAACGACGGTTTTGAGGAGTGGTGAACCTGGAAACAGGTAGAAAACCAGATGAACAAATGAGTCAACGATGGTTAAATGGTTACTCACTCCTGATATGCCTTGTAGTCCCACCTCTTCGCGAACTCCGAACTCGAAACCATGTTTGTAAATACAGTTCGAGGATCGCGAGCATGTATAACGAACGTCCGTCGCTTCCAGGATGGTGAATCGGCGGCGACGGGGCCCGTGTAACGAATGGCAAAAGTGTGCCATGTTGTTTCGCCGTACGGAATGGCGTCGATGAACTCCAGAAAGTGGTCGTGGTCGTCGAAGATCGCGGGGTCGTCGTTACCGTCGATTTCATTCTTCTCACGCCAGATGCGGAGGAGAGTGTTGATGTCGTCAATGGAAGTCTTCTTCTTCTCAAATTTGAGCTCACAGAACTCAAATGAGGGTTTGTCGGGGTAAGGTGCCCAGTTAGGCCTCAAATCTTCTGCGGGTGGGGCGGTGCCCGGTGGTAGAAATACACCGTCAGCATTGCAGGGAAGTGCTTAGAATCAAATGTGTTAGAATGAGGTCGCCAGATATGAGTATTGGCTGACTGCTCACCATTGATGAGCGGGTGTGAAAAGATTGTTGATTGGGGTGGATTCGGCTTCGGGTGGCGGTGATAACGAACGTTATGGGATGCGAAAGACCGCCGAGTAGGATAAGAGGAAGAACAGAAACGACAGTGAAATCCCATGTTTGGAGCGGGAAGCGAAGGGTGTATCGAACAGTGTGGTAGTGGTTCACGGTAACGGTGACAAGCCTGTATGATACTGTCAATATGCTCGAGGGGTGGCCATCGCGGAGTTGGAAGTGCGATCCGTGGCGGCGTTATCTATACAGGCAGTCAAAATAAGGTTTACGCTTTTGCACAAGGAGACGGGGACTTCAATGGCAAAGACGTACCTGGATACTCTCTTTTCGGATGAAACACCATGTCTGATCGTCTTCAGTCTCTGCGTCCTACACCTCGCACGGCTCACGAATCTGCTCCCTCTGATGAACCTTCCACAAAGTCCTCTACTCATCGTGTCGGTCGCAAACGTGGCGTATCCCAAGTCGAACCCCCAAAGTCCAATAATCAGCCCAATTCTACAACATCGAGTACAAACGTCAAAAAAGCACGCACTGCGAAGACGAATGACTTAGACGCACCTGGAACGCATACTAGTCAGCCCACCAATCCCAGCAAACGCACTCGTCCGTCAAATAACGAACATCCCGCATTGAGGCCTGGTATATTGACGAAGCTACATGAGACGAGAGAGGAGATAACCGCTCGCACTGCAGGCAGGCGAGCTGAAGACAAGGCAAAGAGGGAAGCTAGGAAGGCAGAGGAGGCAGAGAAGCGAGAGAGGGAGGAAGACGGGAAGGCGAAAATTGCGGCGGCGATGAATGCGAGCGAGCAGGAGTTGAAGGACCAGGAGGAGATAAACAAGGTTCCGTTCGGTGGGAACGTCGACGTTCCAGCGTTTAACGGCGGATTTGACGCTCGCTCCGTGCGAAAGGATTCCGCAAATGCTCGGAACGTGAGTTTCTTCGTTGTCTGTTTTTGACACGCATACATCTTACCTCCCCGACGACAACTTCAGTCTCCTCTGACCGCCACTGAAAAGAAGAAAGCACGTACCCATGAGTTTCTTTCCGACATTTCAGAGTATCGACAGAAGGGGAAGGGTGCCGTTGCGCCTAGCACTCGACCGTGAGTCTTTCTCATTGCTAGCGTGTCGTGTCTTGTTCTGAACACCTTCAATACTAGCTCCACGCCGACAGCTCGTCCTCGCACCGCTCCATCAGTGACGACCCAGCCGAAGAAGACTCTCAATGGTGACTGGCTCTCAAAGATAAAACCACTCCAGTACGACAACCACCTAGGTGCGGCATCTCCATCGACTAGTAAGAAAGCCTCGACGAGCAAAGCCAAAGGAAAGCGGGCGGCGAAGGGAGCGACAGTGGACTCGGATATTGAAGATGACGAGTCAGATGCCCTGAAGGAGAAGGAGATGGGGATCGAGAATGAGATGCTGGAGAAGTTTGACAGGGACGCTGCTGGACTCGGTCAGGTGCGTCGACTATCACATTCGACTTCACTCCTTCGAGTAATCCCGTTTGTTTCTAGTTCCAGGTAGACATCTTTGACGTTAACAATGATACCTTGAAACCCAAGATTGAGCCTAAGCACAAGAAGGAGAAGACCAACCGTCGTCCGAAATCTGTGGTGCCCCCGAAGAAGTCTCGCGGTTTTGAGACCATGGAGGAGTGGGCTCGAGACAATTGGTGGGTCCTGAGGGGAACCATTTGTCACAGATATGGTGAGGATAGTCGACCCTTCAAGCTCGGAGATGGCAGAGATTGTCGATTCGCCCGCGATGTCGAGGTCACAGTCCATGTCGCGGTACCTAGTGAAGCAGACTACGAGGTTGTTTCAACAAGCGACAAGGTCTATGGCCGAGTATGTCTATTCAGCTCTCCTTTTATGAGACGTGGCCCACCTTGTTGTCCTTGCTCGCTTACATACTACGATGTTGGTTGTAGTTGCGCCAGGGGATCTACGAGTGGCGTGACGACTTCTACAACACCGCGGTGAAACTCGTCGACCAAAAACTGACGCCGTTGCAGAAGAAGCTGGGTGTCGAGAGAATGGAGGACTGGGTTCGAAGAGCACTGTCGGCAAATGATGGAGCGGCATACTGGTCTACCCCTGGTACTGAGGTGAGTCCAAGCCCCGAGGCGTCGAGACGCGTGATACCCACTTGTGTCTTTGCTCGCATAGACTACACCGGCGCGAGGATCCCTCCGCTCTGAGTATATTGTGGCAGCGTTCGCCACTCACCTCAAAAATATCAAACACTCTGCTCGAGAGCCAGAGCAGTATCCAACCGGGGCCTTAGCCCTGTCTTGTGCTGCTGTGAGTACACTAGCATTGACTCTTCGGGCCACTCGCAACTGACATCAAACAGGTTCAACGTTGTTTCGAAGCTTGGTTACCCGGGGTGCCACCTAAAAGCTACCCTCCATTCACCGAGGTGAACGTATCCAGCTTGGTCGAGGACTACGCTACTGGACCATCCATTCAAGCTCTTGTTGACAAGCCCCATCGCTTTGACGATCTAATAAAGGCAGCCTTTGAGAAGCTCGATACCCCCGAACCATCTTCCAAATCAGTCTCCGCTCGAAACAAGGCATCTACCCACAAGGCCGCCGTCGTTATCGAACCAAGTAGCGAGCCAGAGCACGATGAACAGGACATGGAAGAGGACGAGGAGGGTTTGACGAATAATGGAGAGGCCGATGACAACGGTGATGTGCTCGTGAACGATAGTGAGGATATTGGCAAGGAGAGAAAGGACATGGGTGGCGACGAGATTGTGATGAAGGCAGAGGATTTTGGTGACGAGTACGTGTTCGGAGATGACTTCCATGATGACGGCGAGAATTTTGGTGGGCCGACGGGTGAGAGTACATTGTCTCTCGAGGTTGATGGACTCGAAATCATCTCACTGCCAGCGACTCGTAGCGGTTCTTTGGAGCCACAAGAATCTCGAGGACCGTCGTCCCCCTCATCATTTCTTTCTATTGATTAAACCCTCGTACATGTTTATATCCTCATTCTCGACTGTACACGGCCCTTTAAGCCTCACTTGTATTCCTCAAATGTTCTGATTGTCCTCTCTATTCTACTCCCCTCCCTTGTCTCGCAACCCCCACAATGCACTCGGAATCATTGGAATTTATGTAAATAATTTAATAGATAGAATTTATGTTGTCTCCGATAAGTGGCAGGCCGCCCTGACCGCCCTGACCGGTCCTGAGCAACCTGACGCGGGAATACTCGGAACTGGCTGCTTCGCCCAGGACGCGTCAGGATCTATCAGGACACGTCAGGGCGGTTCAGGAATCTCCAAGAGTTCTGATGTCCGTGGTGCTGGCCGAGCCAGAGACTCTTGATCCTGGGTTTTAAAACGCTTTCTAGGAATTCGCGGAAGGAGTTTCTCTGATCGTATTGATCGTGATCAAAACCAAATGAAAACTCCGTGAGCGGTCTGAGCATAGACAGCAGGCTCAAGCTTGCCGCTCACCAAGATAGTTTTACGCCATGCGCTCAGTTTTTCGCTCAGTTTTTCGGCAAGCTCACCGCGCCGAATGTTGTACTGGACGATAGGAACATCGAAACTTTGCTGTCCAACACCAAGGTCGAGGCCCGGCTCAGGCTTTTGATTAAAACATCATTTAGTCAACTGAGCCACCATAACCCGAAGAATCTCTTACCTGGATGTGAACAGTGATACCCCAACTTCTACCGGACTTGGTGGCAATTTTCTTGAGGCTATGCTTTGGCCAGTTGACATTTGCATTCCAGTCCCGCAACGTTTCGAGTAAATGTCTTTTCCACCACCGGTGATCGCTCACAAAGAAACCTTCTACATACTTAGTCTCATAGTGTGCGCCTGCTACTCTTCCTTGGATCTTATGTTGAAAGCAGATTGCATCCGGGTCCTCTGGGGTAGGAAAAGGCGAGGGAGCACCTCGGTCCTGGGCTATAATCATAATATGGCGGTGTCTCATTGGGTTGTCGTGTCTGTCGTAAACCTCATATGCGATCACAGTGTCACTACTGGATCCCGCAGAGGAAGCGGAATTCGAACGGTCTCTGCTGGTATTGCTATGCGGTGGTGACGATGGCATGTGGGGAATGAGTTGATTGGAAGAGCCTGTACTACTGCTTCGCCGGGCATACGTCCCAGGGATGTGCTGTGTGGCAGGAAAAGCTGCGCCCCACCCTCCTTGAGACGCGTGAGGGTGAGGGGACTGTTGGTAAGGCATCACCGGAGGACTGCCTGGGTATGGTCCAATATGATGTACGTTGTACCTGGCATCTGCTATCGGATTGCTCGAGTTGGATCCGGGAGAATGAACTACTGCTCCACTAAGACTCGGAGAAGAGAAAAATCTGGGCGAAGCACTGTAAATAATGCCGTAGGGTGTAGCCGGAGTAGACGGAATCCATTCATTGTTTCGCAATGGGTACTCGGTGTGGGGCGTTTTCGGAGATGACGGTCCATTCGCGAAGGCAGGCAACGGCACAGTGTTCCTATTGGAGGATTGGAAAGGGGGATACTGATGGGATATGTCAGCAGTGAATAACTATGCGTTCACAAGCGTCATTATGGGGGCTTGAGCTTACTGTAGGAGTGTGTGTGGGAAACGAATATGGTACGCTTCGCTGAGCCATGAGTCAGAGAAGTTCGGGTGCACAGGAGTGGTTGAGGAAGGTTTTGTAGTGATATGGGTCCAATGGAGGGCTGTTCAGCGACGAGGTGAGTGAAGGGACTGGTTAAGAAGTTTACAGCCCTTATATATACGAGTGACACGCCTATAATACTGTTAGAATACACAGCACGCCAGGTTCGCTGTCTCCTGTCCTCTTCACGTCGAGATCAATAGATAGATATATGGGATTGTACAGCAGCGAGGGACCTCCTCGATAGTCAGCGGAGACTATGGGGAGAGAACTCGCTCCTTGTCTGGCGCTTTCCACTGTTCTCGAGTTATTGTTCTACGCAGGGCTCGTAGCAGAGAATGCCAGGTGTGGCCCACACGCTGGCGAGGACAATGACTTATGACAGTAGCCACAGCGATATAATAGGACGGAACGGCAGAACAGGCTCTGTTCTGCTTGACAGTAGGGTCCAGAAACGCCGAGATCTTGCGCCCTCGATGCGCCTGTTATACAATGGGCTTCGGCAGACAGCACTTTTACTCGATAAGATATTAAGCAGGAAGGGTGCTATTGCGGGCGCCTGAGATGTCGCAGAAGCATTTCGCAGAATAGTAGGAGCGGCGGCCACCGTCTGCCTACGTCGAGCGAGCTAAATATATACGGAACAGAACGAAGGCCGATACTATGCGTTAAATCGCGATTTTGGGTTAGATTCTAGGATGGACAGACAAAACGGTTTCCGACCCGATGTCCGGGTGGTGCGAAATCCAAGAAACTGGACCACAGACGGCGTCGTAACCGTCAAGAAACGTTACTCTAAACTCCCCTACTAAGTAGAGCTTGAGAACATTTGCAGCCTCGAAGAAGGAAGTTCCACAACCAATCAAGGGGCGGATCAATGATGAACTCAAAACAAAGAATTTTCAGCAGCGAATTGAGTACGGGGCAAGACCTATTGTTTGGTCTTTACATTCATCGTCTGTTCTTCTCGGATTGAGAGGTGTGATTGTCTGGTGCGTATACACGGAGAGATAGATTGTATCAAGGCGCGTTTTAGGTGTGGTCCTCTGCTTTATGGCATCTGCTTATTTAGACAGACGTGTGTTGCATCGAGCGATTGTGCCCTCACTGACCTTATTGTACAATGGATGTTTACTGAGTGGACACGACCAATAAGCTGACAAACAGAGTGTGAGTGAATACGCCGCGCCTCTCTGAATAAATAGACTCATAATGAGAGGCTCACAATAACATGCGAGTACCGAATCTACGGACATGGTCCTAAGAGCAGAGCAGCCTGAGGAGCGAGCATTGTCCAGATGTAGTGGAAGTGTGGGAGGTCTTTCGTCGGTTCAGTTTCGGAGATAAAAAATCTATTATGTTAGGGGTTTGAACGGAGCATGGTTCGTCAACCTTAGGCGTTGAAGTATCTGAAGTGGAAGAGGATGAAAGCTGAGGTGCAGTCTGCCGAGTAATTTGCGTCCGAGCAACCTCTGAGTCAGAGAAGGGACGACAACGGATACGCAAAAAAGTTAAAGTTATGGCCATTACAGGTAAGCAGCTTGACAGAGAGAAGAGATGTGCGATGATGGCTTTAGGAGAGTTGCTTCATCCGTCGCGGTTTCTTACTCACCGAAGAGTCGAAGGCAACCAATAGATTCAGCCCGGTCCGAGGGACAAAACGCGTGTCACGTGCCCGTTCGGGTTTAGCGCGCTAATCTGGATTCGGTCGCGACTCCGCGCTCCTGTTCTTCTTGCTCTTGCTCCTCATCGGCAGAGACATCGTTTTCTTCTTGCTATCGCTATATTGTATCCTCGTCAGCGGCGTCTCCTATCTGCTTCTCATTTTATCTTCATAAAGCAGGTGGGCGACAAACATCGCTCCGTCGAAATCGCCCTTCAAGTTCACCGCCTAAGGAGACGTGAAGCACTCGAATCGTCCCGGAGTCGAAAGTGGAGGATCGTATACAGTGGGTTTTCATCTTTCTTGTCCCAAGGAGGATTTTACAGGAAAATAGAATGCGATAGACTCGGCGTAGAGCACATATCGTATGCGACGTGATCTTGTGTTTTATTGTCGACGGGATCAGAGGCTCGTTTCACGATATCCTGTGCTCAATGTCGTTCCAGTGGACGATATGACCATAATGGACACGTTTCAGCCTCATAAGCCTTCTGACTTTGCGTGGACAGCTGTGCTATACTATTCCACTGTCCGCAGGTGGCGGAACGAATTGCTGGTCCATGCACTCATACAGAAGGAATAGAGCTACTATCCTAATAATTTGTCGCGTTGTCTCACCATAACGTCGTCACCTACAAGTTCTGTCTACGGTCTTCTGTTCGTCATGGTCTTCTCGCTTTTAGGTCACACATACAGTCCATATTACTCACATCTCGCTCTGCTCTACACAGAAGTCCAAACTCCACATATTCACCGTCACTCGTAACCATCAGCAATGTCTACCTCACTCTACACCCCAATATTTCCCACATCCGAAGCCATCTCTGCCAAGTTAGAATCTCTACAGGAACCCAGACCGAAGGCGTCGCCGACTAACCGCAAACTCCCAGACTCCATCGGCGTAGCTCGTACTCGAGCTCGGACTCGCAACGCAAACACCGTGAACGGCAACGCCTCTCTCCATACCTCTACATCTTCCACCACCATATCCACTGCCACATCATCCTCCAGATCCTCCTCGAACAGCGCCAAACTGGCATCTTCACATACATCCTCTGCTCTCAAAACCCCCTCCACCTCCAAAGCTGCTTCCAATCGCCCTTCGACCTCGAAGACAAAACCAACGCCGAATGCAAAGAAACAGAAACGTCACCATTACGGAAGCAAGCTTCGCAAGATGCACCTCGCACTCTCTCAACTCCCGCACGAACTTGCACCTCCTTCGCCTACGCAGTCTTACGCCTCTCTTCCTCTGCCCCTTGTCAACGGCCGTAGTAACGGCCCCGTTCCGCTTGCGGGCGATTCGTCGTCGATACCGGGGTTACCACTCGCTCCTCGAACTCCTAAGACCAACGACACTCGGGCCAACAACACGAAAGAGGGCACCATAACCCCAGACACGACCGGCGACAACAGAGTAGATCCAAAGTACGTTGAGGACCTCACGCGCAAAATCCGCCACGCGATTCGTCAAGCGAATGATGACCCCACGTCGGCGAAATGGACACATGTACATGCGCTGGTCAGGATGGGATGTACGACTGGGAGGTGGTTGGGTGTTACAGGGGGGTTGACGTCGGCTGGGAGGGATAGGGCTGGTCCGATGCTGTATGAGCAGGAGGAGGAAGAGGCAGGAGAGGGGGAGGAGGAAGGAGAAGGACCGAAGCGGACAAAATGGCTGCTTGCGGAGACGGAGGAGGAATGGGAGGAGTGGGAGAAGCAGAGAGAGGAGGAGAGGAAGAGGAGGGATGCGAAGGGTAAAGGGAAGGCCAGCGCTTTTCCTTCTCTTCCGTCTGCTCCGGCTTCGGCCCTTGGGCCTGCTGGGACTGTTATATTGGCTGGTGGCGCAAGTAGAGGAAAGATAAAACAGGGCGACGATGCGAAGGGGAAGAGCAAGAAGACCGACGAGGCATCTACGGTGGCGAAGAAAACCCCGGCAGTACGTCCGGCCGCGACCGCTACGACTGGCTCGACTTCCACTATAGTCAACCCGAAGACCTCCGTCAAGGCGACTATGAAGCCGAGGTCGTCCGCCACCGCCACAACTGCCACCACCAGCATTATCACCGGCGATACATCATCCACTACTCGTCCTCAAGCTACAAGCACTTCCGTGACCTCAGCAACCACAGCCTACCCATTTACCTCTATACTCACTAGCCCTCTCGCATCTCGTACTGAGTCCGTTCCCGCAAATGGTCTCGCCCCAGTCGCGGCTGCAGCGACCGTTACTCCAGCTCCAGCTCAACCTGCCCAAACCACAGACGAGACACCAGCACCAGCACCAGTACCTGTACCTCTGTTACCTCCAGCGAGCTCCCAGGCGGACGATATATTTGGCGTGCCGTCTACATCTCAACGCATCCGTGCCGAAGTCGGACGATGGAAGAGTTCCCTGACTGTCCAGCAGCAGAAGAAAATGGACGAGATCGTACGAACAAACGCGGTGTCCGGGGAAGTCTTACAAGTCACAGAAGAAGAGATGGTGTCCAGTTCGCAGTCACAGCCGCAATCCCAGGATCCACAACCACAGGCGCAGGCGCAGGGCAAGAAGCAGAGTCCGCTGGAGTTCGCGGTGAGGAAGCAGGGCGCTGTGGCTAATGCTGTGGGTAACAAGAAGGACGGGAACAAGGATAAGGTCAAGGTTGTGGGGAAGGCGTCGAGGTTCTTCGATGCTAATGACGTTGGTCCGGTTGCTGGTGCTGCGGCAGGCAGCAGTGCTGGTAGGGATGCACATGCAGGGGACAAAGAGGCGGAGAAGGAAGTGGAGAAGGAGCTCCATGCCGAGGCGCATGACGAGACTCCGGATAAGAGCGAGGGCAAAGCGAAGGAAGTAGAGCCTGAAGTCGAGGACGAGGCGCAGGCACAGGCGGAGGAGGCGGAGGTTGAAGCTGAAACTCAGACCGACGATGCGACCGATGCTCCCAAAGTGAGCAGCATTTATGATGTGCCCGAGGTACGTCCTACTTTTCTCGACGCCCATTCATGCACCGCTTTCGGCTCAAACTATATCGAAACCTCATACCGCGAAACTCACTTGGATTCTTCCACGCAGACATTCATTCCGCCTTCATTCTCGTCAGACTCGATTCTCCCCTCTACTCCGGCTAATCGCGTTGCAGTGCAACCCACCGAGGAGCCAAAGACAAAGCCACCACCAATCGCGCCCGTGCCCGACGTTCTGGCAGGTCTAGAAGGCGAGTTGGAGAAGGACGGTGTCGTCTATCCAGCTACACAACCTTCTCAGGCTCAGCATGCAAATGACCTTGAAGAGGTCGACGAACATGATGAACGGGTCGCGAGAGCGAAAAAGCGAGCCCGATCCTCCATCCTCGAGTCCCCGTCCAAACGATCTCGATTATCTCCCGATTCGCCCTCGGAGGACGAATCGTCTTCGATAAACGGCCATGGTGGACGAGAAGACAACAGGATGGGAACGTCTTTAGCTACGTCGGAGGTTGAGCCTGATGTTACTGGCGAGCAGGCTGAGGGTGAAGGAGCACTGGAGGGCGCTATGGATACTCAGGATTCGACGCCACCTGGTCTAGGGCTCGTGGAGAAGAAGGACAAAGGGAAGGCGAGGGAAACGAAGTCAAATGGGATCAGTCTTTTTGGTGGTCAGGGACCTGCCATCCACGACCCTCAGCCACTCGCACCTCAACCTCTCGCTCTCCATGCACCTCAACCGACGCGCCCCCATGCTGCTTCGTCACATCAACTGTCTCCCGAACCTTCCGATCCCGAAGGCAATCTAAAAAATCACGTTCAAGAACGTCCGCACACTCCACCACCGCGTCCACCAACTCGCGTCCTCGGCGCTGCAGCTTCTCCCTTCTCCATCACTACCGTTCCGCTTGGTGCGCCTCTCACCCCGTCAAGGCCCCCAAAAGTGTTGCATCTGCTTGCTTCGAGCAGGACATCGCGGCCCCGCCCAAGGCCCCCTAGCCGACATGGTAACCGTACTCCTGGTCCTGCAGCCAAAGACAAGGAGGGCGAATGCGACGAACTTCCTCGCTTCGGTGTTGATACCGACAGACCAAGGACACCTGATAGGTCCCAGTCTGCTATATTCTCCTCCCCTGCGAGTGGCTCGACTGTCTCGACTGCGTCTCCGAATCTTCGTCGCGGCGCGAATATGTACATGGGTGGGCCTGAGTCGCCTCTCAGAGAGCGGGGACGACGATTTACGAGCAGTCTCAATTTCGAGACGTCTCCTCCTCGGCTGGGATCAGGTGCGCCACTCGGTGCGACGGGAAGCGGATTGCTGAAGGATGTCATGCCCGCGAGCGATTTCACGAGCTTGAGTGGCGTGTTCGACCCACAGATGGTCAGCACTCAGCAACGTCGAAATGGCGAAAGCGGTGACATCTTCCCGAAGAGGAGAGCATTTGCTGGTATGGGAGAAAGTCAGAGTTTACCTCCGAGTCAAGAGCCTTCGCAGGATTATGGCTTCAGTCAGAGTCAGGGGTACGGTCTCGGAGGCATGGGGTATAGTTCGCAGTTTGATGTCGAGGGTGGTGTGGCAGAGACGAGCGTGGTACTGGAGAGGGATGTGGATTATGGAGCGTGGCTGAGGGAGAGTCCGGATTTGCCGGATGAGAAGTCGGTGAATGAGGAGAAGGAGGTGGAGGAGCAGGTTGATATGGAGTTGGCTTGAAATTATGTGAATCGATTATACGTATCCTAGATATGTATCGCCTAGTGTGTACGCCTGTAAGGTTGGTTAGTACGTTATGGCTATAATGTATGAGTCTGAATCTCTAGCCTGCAAATGCCCTGATCAGAGTTAGCAGATTCGTCTGATTCATGATTAGCCCTGCGCGTTTGTGGCGGTAAACCGACGCCACACGAATCAGTATGTGCCGGCAAAACCCGCGAGGATAAATCGCAAAATTTTCTCTGGTTTCTGGTCGTTGAACCTCTCCACCGTTTACAACTAGCTCAAACATGTGCACATATCTTACCTCTTGAACGTATGTCACCTGAGTCTCGTGTGGCTTCTATGCCTGTCAGTACAGCATCGAATTATCGCTGCTTTATGCCCGATTTCGAATGCGAGAGCTGAACGTTGCTGCCCTTTCGACGTATCTTCTATATCTCGAGTTCGAACCCACGACCAAGTCAAGGTCTCCATCCCACCTTCTTTCGTGGTCGGTATCTTCAGTTTGGAGATCTGTTACGGTCGTGGAATATTATGCTCGCGAATTTGCCCTTCCGATGTGCTTCGTTCCGAAGTGCTCGGGCCCAAGGGTGCCCGTGGCAGAGTCTTCACAGAGTTGAGGTCAGTTCGTGTTCCATCTATTTGGCGCATATATGAGTGCTGGGCTCGTAGTTTGGGGACATACATAACTTCTTTTTCCTTGCTTTCTTTTTGAATTAAAGATATTTGTTTTTGTGTTGTTGTATGGAGCTTGCTCGGTTTTCAAGTAGCTTGCATGTATGGATCCCTTTCCTACTTCGATTCGCAATGCGTGATGGCCGTCGTATACGGAAGTGTAAGTGATGCAAGCTATCGCAATAATCACCATCGCTGGTTGAGTGGCCACACAGGGCCACACGCATCAGACAAGCAAGCCCACGGCAATTGCCGTTGGCGTGTGTCAACATGTCGGTTTGGTTCGTTTTGCTACTTGTACTCCAACCTCCACTAACGTCCACCGCAGAGCGCAACCGCAACCGCGGCCTACTTCTAAATATCTCTACAGGCTTCGACTTCTTCTTCACATCGGTATGAATGCAGACACATCATTCGCAGAGTTTATCCAAACCAGAGGCTTGGTGAGCACCGAGCTACCAAGGCAAGCAATGCATGCGATCAAACGAGAGATGTTTCATGGCTGTCGAAAGTGTAGAAAGCATTCGCGGGAAAGTCACGGCGATCTTCTCATTTTCGGCCCCATGCGAAGCCCTGGCTCGTGCGACGAGTGTATCGGTGAGGGGGAAAAGTTGCGACGGTGCAAATCCTGCATGTTTGTTTACTACTGTGTAAGTCCGAGTCCAGCGTCCAACTGGCCAATCTTTCGCAGCTGACCCAATTGTATGCGGGTTGGGTTACCACGAATTGTAACAGAGTAAAGAGTGTCAGAGGGCTGACTGGAAATCGCATAAGGAGGGGTGCAAATACGCTATCGATACCAACAATGCTCTGATGGAGCGTCATGGAGCCGATATGGTAGAGCGATACAGATCTTTCATGAAGTGGTGTGACCAGACCAGGATAGCGATCAACTATACTGGAATGCTTGCCTTGAAGACTCGTACTCCGTCGACCCAAATAGGTAAGCCCATATTTTTCTGACTATACCCACATCTTATCCGAGTTATGGAGCTGGTCTATTCCTGACTAGTATGCCGATTTCCATAGATACGCATGCTTTTGTCGTCGCTGTTGATACATCCATCGAAGATACCACTATCGGCGACTCGACCTCACTCATCACTACTTCGTCTTCCCAGACTATTACTCTGCCGAAATTCAGTCGCAAGATACGATGGGCAGAGTCTGTACCTTTTGACGAAGCACTTGACGAATATCTCCCCTGGTACGAAGACGAAGCTCGAGAACTCTTCAAAACCATGCAACCTACCACCTGTGGTCCTGATGCCAAATTCTTGCGTATCCTGATCCTCGACGACAGTCTTCCGGAGCCGACGTCAACTCACGATCGCCCAGCTGTTGTCAAACCGGAACACACGGCCGGAGCACCAGCCAACGCGACTGACGAAGCGATATGGCGACCGTTTTTGGACTTTGCGGTTGAAGCGGTTGAACACTGAGCGTGGGATAAAAGTCGTCAGAATGTTTTTGTGATGGTACGCCCACTTTGCTTCATCTTGACCATTTCGGCGCGTGAATGATATAATCTCAATTCAGTGCTCTGTTAGCTGTGTGTCGAATGATAGTAATTGCTGTATCTTCTATGTGTACTCTATCGTCTTGCTATCGACTACCCATTGTTTTGATCCTCATGAATCCTGGAACGAAAGCTCGTGTTTATGGTCTGACTTACGTGACGCCTTCCAAGTCGGCTCTCTTTTATCGTCGAAATCTTTCGGTGGAACAGTAGGAAGGCACACGGCTTGGTTTAATGATTAAAGGTATTCGAGAGCAACCCCACATCCGGTACGGCTCAACGTCCACCTTCTTCCCAATTTTCCAATCCTGACTGATGCGCTTCATGTTTCTCCCACTCTCCTCGCCAACACCATGATTAGTATAGTAAACAGAGGTGGCCCATGTATTTCCGTCTTACGCCTCTGATCGTGCATTCCACTCTCTCATCAAGCAGATAACGTACATATCTCCCGGTATCTCACACCAATGGGTCCACATCTCACGAGCACTATCTCCTATCGAAAGATTTGCCAGCGACATCTCAGCCTGTGATCCGAAGAAAACACGGTTATCAGCTTGTTGAGACCAAAAGTAGATCTCCGTGCTTACCTCGATCTCTGCAGTTATTCCGCACCCTATCTCCAAGCACCTGAACTTGGCTCCCTGCTCTTGAACAAGTCGTCCGTCTGGCCCCTTCTGGGTGCCATCCAATACGGCAGAGATGACTCTGAACCACTGTTGCTTCTCGCTCGCCATGACGCAGCATCGTCAGATCCTCGACGGTTCGGTGGACGATACAATGGTGGCGATGGTGGTGGGGACATGCTGGTGAGTGATCCTAATGAACTACCGTACGTCGATGTTGATGTGTTGCTCATTTTTCGTGCTGGTATGTAAGTGTTGCGCTTCTTCCTTTCAGCTTCAAATCAGAAAGGATGTCGTTCAACCCAACAGAGAAGTCAGCGACAATCACATCGAGCGTCAACAGCCAAGGGACCAATCTACTCACTGTCAATACCTCGCTGATCATCTCTTTCGATTTTGTACGGCAACAGCGCAAGACACAATCTTCTCATGTGTTCCTCCATAGCCCTGCACTGAGACTCCCATATCGGCTCAAACAACTTCAGCAGAGCTGCATGTTCACCTTTGTACAAGGCGTCGGCATCGGCATACTCTGGAAGAAGCTTCATAGGCTTCGCAGGCCCTGTCGTCCCTTGATCCTCCTCTACCTCTTCGCCGTCACTATCTCCGCCAGATCCCTCTCCTTGAGAATTCTCGCCCTCTTGAGATGCTCTTAAAACGAACCCAGCCTCGGTTTCTGCGAGCCTTCTCTTGATCCAACCGAGTACGTCCCGCGCTCGCTGTTTATACTTGTCGATATTAGCGGCCTCACTGTTCCCGACTCCTTTGTCGCCGTCGCCAATTCTTCGTCTGTATCCCTGGCAAACAAGGTAACAAGACGACCTCGTCGAGTGTAACAGCTTGCCCTTCAACGCCGTCACACTCTCAAACGCTCTTCTCAACACCCCGATAATTTCGAGAATCCACGAAAATGTCTTAGTATTGCAGACCATAACGCACGATCCTCCGGGCCTGGTGTTCGTCAAGACGATATAGAGTTGTGAGAGTGTGAGTTGGGCGCGACGCAGAAACGGGATACGGCCTTCGAGGGTGGGAAATGCTCCTGCAATGACGAGGTCATACCCTTCGTGTCTTGTGCCTAGCCCAGTGCCCAGTGTGTCCGAGTGGTCCTTGAGATTTATCCATGGCTCCTTCCCTTCATTGATACAACCCTCCACAAACTCGTTTATATCACCGAACTTCATTTCATAGTTACGACTTCTCAATGCCCTCGCATCCCAGACCCTATTCTCATCTGGTCTCGTATATGTCGCTCTCGCGTCCGGCAGTGTGACGCCTAAGCCACCACGATAGAGAGGGTTGTTGTCGATGAGCCAGGAAGAAAATCCTCCGGGCGAGAACCCGAGGTCGAGGAACATTTTGACTTTGTCATCGCCGAAGGGGTGATTTGGGAGCTGCTCGTTTATATCGGAGAATGCTCTGGAGAAGGAGAGGAGGTTAAAGCTACGCTGGGTGGCGGCAGTAGTTCTCGAAGACTCTGAAGGGGGTGCATCTTCTGGTTTGGAAGAGGCTGGGTCTGGGCTGACAGCTGTTGGGGATATTGGCGATGAAGGCTTCTGGTCAGACGAGTAGTTGGCTCTGGCAGTTTTGAAGTGCGCGTCTACATTCTCGTCTCGTCCGTACAAAACCTTCATGCAACGCATCTTGGCGTAGACGGGAGAGTCACGGAAGAAATGTTGCTCGAAAGGTCGTCTAGTAGCCCCTCTCGTAGCTCTGGCAATGACATCCGAGTCGAAGCCTGGGATAGCCATCGAGAACTCGCTAGGAACCTGGAACGGCATGCGTGAGCGGGTGGAGGAGACGAGGAGGAGACGTGAGCCTTTCAGCTAGTAGGGTAGATGTTATTTGGGTGGCGCTATGCTTAATCTCGATTATCAACTCTATGTGAAAATCTGGAGAGTCCGTGGGGCAGGGCGCTTCCAATCATGATGCGGACTTTGCGCCATCCAGAATGGACGCCAATACCGGTGTGGTGATACGCGATGTGTGCGTTTAAATACAGAAAGCGATGAACAAAGGTTATATCGCTATGAGTCGTCAGCATGAGAACCAGTATTAGCATGGACACCCAGTTTAAGGTCAAAAAGAATTCTGCAAGTTTGAATCCTCCGGAGACGATAGGCAATCCATGCAGCGATCGAGACAATTTACAAAAGTATTTCGAGTAGAGGTAAGAAGACTCAAGGCGCCACCAGGGCTCGAACCTGGGTTACAGGAAATCACGTGAATCAGAATCCTGTGTACTAACCACTATACGATGGCGCCGTGCGAACCTCGTGAAACTTTCAGCTATCACAGTTTGTTGCACTCACCCACACCTCACGCTGAAAGCTGAAATGCACGCTGAAATTGCACAAAAAACTCAGGCAAAATGGCAAAAACACTGGGTCGAAGGCGCTACCAGGGTTCGAACCTGGGTTACAGGAAGTTTACCGAGCTGGAATACAGCTCGAGATCAAAATCCTGTGTACTAAACCGCTATACGATAGTGCCATGCCCAAATTTCCAACCAGGTCAATACCACCAGGAATCCCAGTGAGCCGGCCTTTCAAGCTGCATCACCGAAGCTTATTCTCTTCACATTCTCTCGTCTTTATCCATCGACCCATATTCCGCGAAAAATATTTCACTATGGCCGATGTAGCCTGATGTAGCACTCATGTGTGCTGAGTACATATACTGTATTTCTCTGACTGGCAGCTCTGTCCATCAGCAAGACTGCATCTGTCTAAACCTAACTTTTCGGTCTATTTCGGTCTATTCCTTCTTTTCGCTCTATACCCGTGGGCGTCTGTAGGATCTGGTAGATATTTCGGGCTTCGGTAGTCGCTGAAGCTCGGATAGAGTGCTGTAAGCACCGTTCCCCACCAATGCTCCAGTTCGAGGTGCTTCAGGGTGCTTCAGGGTGCACAACACTGCTTGGCACTGCTAATTATGACTGTATGTCTAGAGTATAGGTATACTAGGTACAGGATTCGATATACAAGCAATCTACAGTGTTCGAAGACACGGAAACCGAGTGAGTACTTTACGGGGAAACCTTCGTGAGCTCACCTCCTGTGACTGACTCTCATCCGACCTTCTGGCTGTCACTAGCCCACAACGGAGCTTTGTGGAAGCCATACGCGACGCAGCAGTGTCTAAAGAGGTCTAAAGTCGAAGTAGATATAATTCGGCAAAACAAATGGAAGAGTTAAAGTACGCGGCTATAAAACACACTCACATGTCCAGGCACATATCTTCCATTCCTCTAGGACTCTGCTCGTGTTCAGACGGCTCTCCAGCCTATGCGAATACGGTGTATTGTGTTGTTGTGCTGAGGCGGACAAAGGGATCGAGGACGTAGTGGACACATCGCGGAAGAGAGAACGCAAAAGAACGCGCGAGCGCGATCGCGGGCAAGGCCTGCCCTAAATCACCACGTGAGCTCGTTGACCGTTGATTGCTCTCACAGGCCCCGGGACGCTTCACCAGAGGTCTCCCGGCCAAAACCCCTCAAATCGGGGGTCAAATATCCAATTTTTTTCGCCCACACAAGGGGTCAAATATCCAAAAGTCGGGAAGGCTTGTCACATATCTGAATTTTGTTATGAGGTGTCACAGCTTATGTCACGGATCTGTGGCCCGAATGCGACTGGGTCTTTATTATACAGGAGAAATGGTGAAACAATTTATGAACAACTATGGATAGACAGCTCTATGCTACATGAGAGAGAATGGATATCCGGTGATCTTTCTATTTTCCGTCCTTCGACCGAGCCGGAATCTTCAATGTCAGTGGCTTATCCAAGGCCTTCTTCACCACCGGCTTCGTGAATGCTCGCCTCGCCACCTTGATGCAACGACGGGTTTGAGCACTGATCGAAGCGGATCGGCATCGAGAGTCTTAAAGATGTGCGGCCCGAGATTGTACAAGAGTGAGGAGCCTTTACCATGTGTATGAAGCTCAAAAGACCTGTAATGGCAGGAGAACTCTGGTGGCTCATCTTCAGAATCTTCGCTGTCGGAATCATCGTCGTAGACGCCCTGAGACTGAGCAGTCCACGGACATTTGTTAGATCACAAGCAGACATGTAGATGTAGACATTGGCAGAAAACACTTACAAGACTCAAAGGAAGATAGACACGGAGAGAGAGATAGGATAGGTCACTAGCTTTGTCCACCGTATCCACGGAACAATGTCGACCTGACCCTTTTGTGTAGAGGTCAAGAACCTCGCCGATAAAGAAGCGGCCTCCACCCTTCCACTTGTTGCGCATGATGACGAAGCATTTCTTCTTTAGCAGATTGACGCTGTTAATATTCTTGGCCTGAATATTTGGGATGGTGAGCCCGCACAAGCAACTTCCTTTCTCGGACGCAACCCGCGCGTTGGCTCTCGGCCGCTTCCGACGTGCCGCCGCGCTCTCGACTTCGCACAATCGCTCGACTTTGCCACAATTTCGCCTCGGCCGCTCACTCTAGTTTCTTTGTATTGTTACCTATCTACTCTTGCTCTCGTGTTCTACCTGTATAAATCTGGGAAATAATAATATATGTAATCTAATCCTTTGAATACGACTGGTGCCTCTTCGTGGCTCCCTTCTCCGGTGATGGGGGCTCTAATGCGGCGCGTTTGAGCCGAAGTCGTTCCGTGTTGGACAGCTTTGGGCCACTGTGGCAACCCTCTGTACTGCTGCTAGTCATACTCTGGGTCTCCTTTGCGAGAGGGAATACCGGCGTGCTCTGAACAGGCTTTGCTGGTAATGCTGAGGCTGAGGCTGAGGCTCCGGACCCGACGTC